TGCTGAATGCTACCGTCTTCGCCTGAATAGAACGCCCATTCATTATTGTTGTATTTAGACTGGAAGTTGCCCCAGAGACAACTATAATGACCGGGCGTTTTATTCGGGTGAGGACGGTAGTGGTGGTACTGGCCTTTCTAGTTTCGTGCTCTGAACAGATTGGCCACAGTTGTGAACAGCAGTGCTTGAATTGATCTTGTTGAACTGATTCCACCCTTCCAAAGAAGACTGATGTCGAAGTTGCATCTTCAGCCACTGATATTTCGTACAATTCCTGAACACAAAGTGCATGTGTATCTCACGAGAGTCGTTGGTGTTTGTGTTTGGGGGGACGAGAGAGGAGTATCAAGTCCATCCTTGAAATGGAAAGGAGGCACTGGATTCTTTCCTGATCAAGAGCAGGGTAGCATCTTGTAATTGGCACGTGTTGCTGTGTTACATGGAGGAGTGGGCACACAGTTGATGGATTGTAGTAGCAAGAGCTTGTTGTCTCCCTGTTCATGTATCCCAAGCCTGGGGCATGGCATTTGTGATTTTCATCATCCTCTACTCAAGGAAGGAGGTAATGAATGGAAGAGATATAGGAGGAAACATCTATGGCGGCACAGACATCACAGGAATGAAACAACAAAATGTTTCTTGAGCAATAATGTGGCACCATTCAGTGTTGTGGCACACACAGTGCTGTAGGGGGTCACCCCGACCGCGTTACACAGGAGTTAACGGATATTGCACACAGGAGCATGTCGCTCCTGTCGACTGCACTAGTCATACCTCTCACAGTTCCTACAATAAGATAGAATATTGTGAAGCACGACCTGCTCTTACATGCCATGCTGGAGGTAGACCAACTGAGGGTCTTTTTTCTTGCTTGCTGTAGCATAGGGGTACTTGACGGATGTTGCACATAGGAGCATGTCACTCCTGTGGAGTGCGATAGCTATACCTCTCACAGTATCTACAACAAGATAGAATATTGTGAAGCACGACCTACTTTTACATGTCATGCTAGAGGTAGACCAACTGAGGTTTTTTTTCTTGCTTGCTGTAGCATAGGGGTACATGCGGCCATACGCCTCATCGAACCCATATGTGTATCATCGTATGAGGCGTTGATCTCCCATCCGTGATCCTACGCCAATCGACTAGGATGGTCGATATACGTAGTCAAACAAAAATATTCAATTTCACTTCATTGATAGACTTAGTCTTTTTTTCGTTAGCCCATAAGATTTCCCCACTTGCGGAGTGCATGTCAGTCTGCCCAGATGATATAAATAATGTTGAAACTCTTGAGTCATTGTGCTCTATCAATGGCACCAGGCTTCATGATTATTGCATATAAATATGCTTCGCTTGAAGGCCCTCATGGGCCTTGAGGTCGCATGTGATGCTTAAGAATCGACTAAAGTGTATAACGCAGGTATACATGTGATAATACGAAATGGCGGATGATATTTGTTTGATCCTACATGTATAGTTGTATTTCAGGCCAGATCACGAGGATCATTAGTGACCTGGTGGCTCCGAAGTTTTGTGGTACAAAAAAGTCGTAAACCATGAGTACATCCGAACTTGGAAACGCTACACTATGTTCCAAGCTTTTCTGGACCACCAACAACACACTTCTTTTCTTTTTTGGCTAGCGGGCCAACCATTGTGGTCCGCTAACCCTGGAGTAGGCAACTTGCAACTTTTTGAAAGGTTGTGGCCGTGTGCTGGCGGTTTAAACCCGGTCATGGACTCCAACATCCAACCTCTTGAATAATAAATACGAAAACAAAATGCGGTCAGTTGGAAGGCAATTACTTATGCACAAATGATGTTTGAAGCCATAACCCCAACCGCCAGGCTCATGCTTTGCTCTGCTTAAGATCTTCATTTAAACAAGTAATAAGTATACGAAAAATTATCTTTGTTTTTTTACATATACTTACTTATTCATATTTAGCCATCATTTCATCACCTTCCACGATAATGAAGTATTTGTTTGATTTTATAATACAATAAATCTAGATATTTGTACCAAAAAACAGATAATCTTATTTCCCTTTTAAGATAATTCTCAAACATTCTACGTAGTTTGTCTCGGTATTTACTTTTGTTTACTTACCCACATGCATAACCAGTATACATTCAAAACCTCTTATGGTGAACCCTTTATTCAATTTTATTCGCCTTTCTTTATCCCTCACACCCATCAAAATCATAACATTCACATGCTCATTCTTCGGTCGTTCCATCCAACCCAATATGATTATTTGAAGAATCCACTTTACCAATTTGAACCCTGTACATAAAAATTTTGAAAGCAATCATACTGTTTGTGCAGATTTCAATCCATGGTGCGTGTATCAACTAAGGATTTGGAAAGTTGAGTTGACAAAACGACCTCTATTATCAAATAATGATGGCAATGTTCATTCATGTATTCGTTAGAATCATCCTACAATGAGTCATAGATCGTGGCGACCTACGTCAAGAACCCAAGCTACAACTTTATCATACTCTAGCCAAAGGAGACTACCCTCACCTTGCTATCTCGTCCGAGTTCCAACTCTCACCAGAAACAATACATTGACATCTTATATTTTTTCAAGTTGAAAGCAACACATTATCTTGACTAACTTGTTAGGTCCTTAAAAGTTTTTACCTCATTTTTCTTATGAAAGTGTGTATTCAAAAGTCAAACTAAATTTAACTTTAATATACAATATAACTTCGTCCTTTGAGTCTTTCTAAATTTATGACTAACTCCTTATATTAGTAAAAATTTCAGTAGCACTTCCCGTATAAAAGTTATTGCCCATAATTTTTACTGGTTCGAGAACATATCAAAATTATTTCTGAAGTTGATTTTAACTATTTTTTTTGCGCTACAATTTTGTTATTACTGGTCTGAAAACATATCATTTTCTTTTTTTTTTAAGTCAACTTTATCTAACATTTGCGCACTACAGACTTCTTATGGTTCCAGCAGTAGACGAGCATCGAAGTCTGAATCAAGGCGATAATATCTATCATGAAATGCAAGAGTCAAACGATTAAGTTATTCAATATCGATTAGTAATTATATCACTCATAGTATGAAAAACTTTCATACATTGGTCTTTATTATTGGCATAATAGTTGAAGACCTAGGCTGTCATAATGGTCCGGGATCATTTATCCGGTCGGGCCAAAAAATAATAATAAAATAAATTTAAAATTTTATTTTATTATTAGATTTTTTATTTTGAAATTGGTAAAGAATTTTGATGTGACCTTTGACAAAAGTTATTCAGTTTATTTTTCAGCATAACATAGTTTTTTTTTTTTTTTTTTTTTTTTTTTTAAGGATCTTCCATGGTCTTTTCACGGCTGAGGTGGCCAGAAAAATAAGGTGATATGGGCAGTCCGGCTGGTAGTCTAGTTGAAGGTGTAACTTTACATAAATTTTCACAAGTCTCGCTACTCAAATAAAATATTGAGGTTTAGGTTTAGATAGTAAAAGATAGCAAGTACAAACAAGACTAAGCACAAAAAGCACCAAACACTTTGTACAAGCTCATCCAAAACTTATCGTACACTGCGCGTGTACGATGCACACCGCGAGTGTACTGATTACAGCAAAAGAGCAAAAATAGCGTTCGATTGGGAATGGCAGGCCCGACAGGTTTCGACCGTCGCCACGCGGTCGTCCTCAGAAGGCTTCTCCACCACACTTCATCCCTCAACTTCGTCGTCGTTCCCCTAACCCATCCTCGTCAATATCCAGATTAGCATCGGGAGGACGAGGACCCAAAAGAGGTCGAAGCAAATGCAGTTCTGCTGTTATATTCGTCCTACTACCTACGATTGTTCCTAACAAGTCAAACACCCGCCGAAAATCAAATTCAAAAAATGGAAAACACAGTCGCAAAACAAAACGTGTTCTAGTACCGCACTCGTCCAGTACCCGAAACCTTCGGTAGACTACTTCCGGTAGCCACGTGGGCCTTACCGGTACCATCTAGTACCGTCGCAGATACCGCGCCAATCAGAAGCAAGCCTACCCCGAAGTTCCTGTCATCGATAGTCGACACTAGAAAATCCATCTATTCAGACACAGAAATTTGACAACAATCCTGCAAACACAACACGCTGACAAACATCCTACAAACAAAAAGTGATAGCGTCCTTCAGTCGAAAACATCCCTATCCAACTAACTCTTACCATGCACGGTAATTATTACTGTTACAAGGAAAGGTATGCTCGCCAAATTCAAGTATGCTCCCCAGACAAAACTGCAAACCAATACGACGGACACCCTGTCTGATTGTAGTACCTTTATTCCTATTCAACCAATTGAACAGTGCGTGAGTGGCCAACTCGCAAAAACAACACCAAATAAAGCCAAGTCAAAATCCTACATGTCAAAACAAAGCCTTATCATATCGCCTACGCATGTGCTTGTTTAGGCTATTTAGCTGCCTCAATCGGCTAGCCATGAAGATGTGAATTCCCACACCGTGCCCCTTCCTCTCGCAAAACGTTGCAGAACCCGCTCGAAAAACTTTTGCGGGAAGTTCTTAATCCTGAGTTCCCGGTTCAGAGTCAACACCCTCTCTGGAATCTCGCTTCGGATCGTGGTGTTCTTATCGATACGGTTCAGATAGTTGGTGATCACCACGCTCTTCTGCATTTTGCTCCCCCACGACCGAAAACTCTGTCCGGTTTTGAATTCCATAACCTCTTGTTCCCAAATGGTCTTATCGTTTTTGGACAGCTGTATGCATCCAATGTACGGATACGTATTATGCGTACGCATTTCCAGACCCAAGAAATCCGAAGTGCCACTGCCATTGTCCTTTCTCTTTAGCGACAAACCCTTTGGATAACAGTTCTCGAAGTCACGCCGAATCCTCGCCGCCTGTGAGTCCTCTACCTTTCTGGACACGATCACCAAACTCACATCATCGATAAGACGGATACTGAAAATCCTCGAACGGAGATTACCCATTTCCCGCAAGAACTTGAATTCGGCGTGTGCGCACATGATGCATGCTAAAGGTGGACTCGTACTTTTTCCCATCGGGATGCCCATGATCTAGTTAATCAGCACGCCCGTTGCTTTGACGTATGTGTGCTTGAGGTCAAAGCGTACGAAAGTCCTCAGTTCTTCCAAATCGATGACACGCCAATGGTCGTCGCCAGTCGTTCTCCCAAACGTGCTTCCCTTTCCTTGTGGGTTGACCCTTACCATCTTCACGCCTTTCGTCTTGAAATGGTCGATGATCCAGTCAACTGCCTCGATAATCTTCTTGTGCGGCAGCTTACTGAACATGTCTTTGATGTCGTAAGACATCGTCGACATGTGTAGACCGCTTCCACATCTCCTTCGCATTGTTTTATTCATAGAGTCGAGCCGCGGAACAACCTCCGAGACTGCCTTCAAGTTGAAATGCCAGCTTTGTGGGATATTCCTCAGAAGATGATTGAGCGCCCTGGCTACGCATTTGGACGTACGCACCGATGGTTCTGAGTGCGATGGGCAGATTGGCCGATAACGGTCCAAATCCTTGTGCTTTGGCTGCACGTATGCTGCGCCAAACGTCCCCTTCTTATTCAGTTTTCCGAAATCAGATAGGCCCACCTCCTTCGAATCCACCGCCATCTGCTCGATGATCGCCGCCTCGTCCTCCTTCACGATTCGATAACCCGGGTTACATACGAACATCATCATCATTGCTTCATGGTACAACTTCGGACAAATCACCAGGGTTTCCCCGGTATTCCTGTCCAATGGTGTGCGTACCAGACCATCCAAACGCTGTCTCAGCTGGTTCACGTCCTCCATCTTCAGAAGCTTGTTTGCTTCAGCTGGTTCCTTGAGGATGCACGTCTCCACTTCCTTGCTAGTCACTACGCCTCCGCCTATGTTTGGCCATCTCTCAAAAGCCTGTTCGATTTCCTGTTGCAGCAGTTCACTCCGCTTCCGCGATGAAGCCTGTGGAACATTGTTCGCGTTACAAAGTAAGGGATGAATATCGTCCAGCTTTTGCAATCGGAAGCGCACATGGTCGCCTATCCTTGGATAGGGTAATCCTGCACAGGTACAGATACAAACTTCAGCTTTTACAAAAGTTCGTTGATTGTGTAGCAAAATAGCAATCGATGGGTTGTTCACCCTGACAATTCTAATTTTGCTACGTGCTCTCTTCACCATGCAAGCGGGCAAATCCAACTCCCTCAACTTGTCGTTCGTCACTTTTCGTACTCCTGCCATCTTGACCCGGTCGTCGAACTTCAATTTGACCGTAATGTTAGCTCCCATGATCCAACCTGTGGCAGCCTTGATACTTCTTGCCACCACCCTCCTCAGGTAAGATCTCGTTGATTCCTTGTGAAAACTCTTCGCTGAAGTATCTGAACAATACTGTGACGTCGAAGCTCTTCAATTCGCCAAGCCGCTTCGGATTACGTAACATGTTGACCAGAGCTTTCTTATCCTGATTGCCTTTTGGATGCCACCGCCGAAGACATCCCATGTTCACTAACTTCCCCTCCTCCAAATTCTTCTTGCACTTGGCTAGAGTTGACGCCGTGCCGTCAACAATTACTGGAGTCGTTCCGAAAGCCTTTCGGATCTTTTTCCAGCCATCCACCCACACGTTACCTCCTTCCGATTGCATAGAGAATTTTCGGAACCCCTTCTTCTCTGCTTCGGCCAGCGTTTTAAAAACGTTCACACCGTGTTCCTGGTTGTTAATTCGCACACTTACCGGTCTAAACGCCAAAGTAGACTGTACAACAGTTTGTTTGCCCGAAGTTTTGTACCTTTCGTTCTTCCCCACCCGCCTTTTGTTCCTTCTTCGTCGCTTCCTCCTCACTCCGTTCGTGTTCAGAGTCGGCCCCCATCGCTGTATGTACAGTTGTTCGAAAGCTAAAAGTTGATTATCCGTGCAGACTTCGACTGGGATTAGTACATAAGACTCCCGCCCGAATGCTCGTAACCACCGGTACAGATGTGTGTCCTTGCTGTTTCGTTCATTCCTTGACACGTGTTCCCGCCATCTCGTGTCGCCGCCTCTACTCGTCTGTCCTATGTACATTGCACGACATCGGATAGAGGCAATCACATACACAACCGTTCCGCAATCTAGAAAACTGAGTCTCATATGTGCATACATTCGCACCCATGAGTCGATGCACTTAACCAAAGCATGAACCTGCCCCTCTAAAGTTAGCAGTATCACGATCAATCGAAATATGCGTTCAACTCTATTATTTACTGGATCCGTGCACCGCCACTCAATGATGCGATCGCATATCATGTGAAGGCACACGCCTTCAATATCGGTTCACGCGACTTCGGTGCCCGGTTCCGCAACTTCGTCGTCATCTTCGTCGTCGCTTGTCGGTACTACCACCTCGACATTGTCGTCCGTCACGTCCTCCTCGTCCTTGCCGTATGCCTCGATAGCGCACTTCTCGGCGATATTAATGGTCGCCAAAACTTTATTCTCGTACTCCACGTCCTCCTTTCGACAAATATCCTTGAGCTCGTTCGCGCTGAATTCTGACAGCGCCCGAATGTTCTCACAGATGTACTTAGCGCGACCTGCTGTTCCAATCTTCGTCGCGATCTTTGTCTTTGGTGTTCCCCTTCTTGGAGTGTATCTTTTCGGTGTCTTCTTCTTGGTACTCTTCTTCTTCGCCGATTTCTGTAGTTTTCCCGCTAATCGCACCGGTTGCATATGCGTCGTTCTTGGTGTACGCTTGGCTTCCTGCATCACCGGTGGGCTGTTCCCCACAGGTTTCTCCGAGCTACGTTTCCGTTTCTCGGAAATCTATAGTTTACCCGTGCGTAAGCTGATCTCTTCGACATCGTTGGTCGTCCCTCCACTCGAGGCTGACGCATTTGACGGCGTGGGTGACTGCGCACGTTGCTTGCCTTTCGCCTTCCTCGTACTCATTTTTCTTACATGTTGGATTTCCTCCGTCAATCCGGGTATGTGCTCCGATAGTCCCCCCACTGCCATCACTACTTCCATTTGCATCTCCTTGCGCATTTGCATCCTCATTTCCTCCATTGCGCGTAGCTTAGCGACTTTCCTCCTTTCCTTTTCAGTTTGGACTGCTTTCTCCTCTTCCTCCTGTAACGTCTTCTCGATTTTTTCCTGTCTTCGCCGCTCCTCCTGCCGTCGTCGATTCTCTTGCTCGAAGTGCTCCTTCATGGATGTCAATGATGTCCCGAGGTCTTCCACTCGTTTCTTTAACTGTTCATGGTCTGGTGACTTGTCCTGTACGCCGCTCGGGCGCGAACTCCCTTCACCCACGAGCTTCCAACATTGATTACGGTAGTGCCCCACCTGTCCGCACTCGTAACATGTTGGTGGTCCCCTTCGCCGTTGTTCTCCTGACGCGTAGCGTCGTTCGCGTGAGGTCTCCTTCCGATCGTCTTGATTGTAGGAATCTCTGCTCCTGCCGCGCTGTTCATCCCTCCAGCCCTCCGACCTTCCTTCTTGTCTTCCCCGCTCACCATCGCATGCGTAGTCACGCGAATCCCTGTTCGCTATTGGTACGGATGTGTTAATCCTGTCCACACCCTCAGTACCCCGACTTGACAAATAATGTCGAATCGTTGTCGTCGTCAACGTAGAAGTACAAAGTACAAAGTACACGTAACTGAAAAATGTGCTCACTCAAGCCCGGGCTATCCCGTATCCAGGCAGGTTCACACGGGTTCTTTGTAGGCTTAGATAGTAAAAGATAGCAAGTACAAACAAGACTAAGCACAGAAAGCACCAAACACTTTGTACAAGCTCATCCAAAACTTATTGTACATTGCGTGTGTACGATGCACACCGCCAGTGTACTGATTACAGCAAAAGAACAAAAACAGCGTTCGATCGGGAATGGCATCCCCGACCGGTTTCGACCGCCGCCACGCGGTCGTCCTCAGGAGGCTTCTCCACCACACTTCATCCCTCAACTTCGTCATCGTTCCCCTAACCCATCCTCGTCAATATCCAGATTAGCATCGGGAGGACGAGGACCCAAAAGAGGTCGACGCAAATGCAGTTTTGCTGTTATCTTCGTCCTACTACCTACGACTGTTCCTAACAAGTCAAACACCCGTCGAAAATCAAATTAAAAAAATGGAAAACACAGTCGCAAAACAAAACGTGTTCTAGTACCGCACTCCTTCAGTACCCGGGACCTTCGGTAAACCACTTCCAGTAGGCAATTGGGCCTTACCGGTACCATCTAGTACCATCGCGGATACTGCGCCAATCAGAAGCAAGCCTACCCCGAAGTTCCTTTCATCGATAGTCGACACTAGAAAATCCATTTATTCAAACACAGAAAACTGACAACAATCCTGCAAACACAACACGCTGACAAACGTCCTACAAACAAAAAAGTGACAGCGTCCTTCAGCCGAAAACATCCCTATCCAACTAACTCTTACCATGTACAGTAATTATTACTGTTACAAGGAAAGGTATGCTCGCCGAATTCAAGTATGCTCCCCAGACAGAACTGCAAACCAATACGACGAACACCCTGTCCGATTGTAGTACCCTTATAATTGAGCCAATGACCGAGCCAAAGACCGAGCCAAAGCGAATCACCATAGTTTTGGAAATATTAAATTTGACTGATAGTTCGTTTATTTGATCGTTTATATAATTGTTGTTTCATTTCGTATTTAAAAATTAAAGATGAAGTGAAGTTGTGTCATGGCAGTTTTGGTCAATAGACTTTCATCAACCATTAACAATCCAACAATTCAATAATTTCATTAAACCTTATAAAAACAACAGTATAAAGTTATATCGCTACAGTTATGGCCATGGTAGTCGGTGTTCGGTCAGGCGGTCGAACCCGAACGCCCGAACGTCCGGCCCCCTTGTAGACGTGCTCGGTCGTTCAGGCCAAACGAGGACCCAAATAATAATAATAATAATAATAATAATAATAATAATAATAGGCTACTAGAGTGGCCCGGGTCCACTTGCCCGGCCGGGCTAAAAAGGAATAAAAAAATAAAAAAATAAAAATTATTTTTTTATTTTAAATTTTATTTTAAATTTGGTACAGAGTTTCGATGTGACCCTGAGGCAAAAGTTGTTTAATTTATTTTTCAGCATAACATAGTTTTTTTTCGGATTTTTTCTAGGCTACCAGCCGGGCCGCCCGGGTCCCAGGTGGCCAGCCCGTGCAAGGACCAAGGAAGGTCCCAGCAAAAAAAAAAAAAAAAAAA